ATTAGATTGTCCCCTTTATTCATCAACAGCCTCAGAAAGCAAGTTCCCACTAGTTTGAGCTCTTAATTAATTAATTAGCTATCAATATTTTTGGTAAAAGAAACAAATAAAACCCTGCATTATATTAAATCAGTAGTATGATAGCTGATCTTCCCTGTCCCCTTTGCAATGGAGGAATTATTTTATATCAGCATATTACCATGATGAGGAATTACGACAAATTATTTACCATGAAGTAAACAATTTGTCATATATTAGCTAAATGAAAAGAAAGACAATTGAGAAGCCAATTTTAAAAGCATTTTCTTTACCACTAGGATAACAGAAAAAGTAATATGAGATACTTTGCTTAAGAAATGTCAAAAAATTACAACCTTTTATTTCAGAAGAGTGAGTTTGGATGGGTGTATAATTAAATTCATTGTAAACATCACTTCAAAAATAATTTATTTTGTGGAAAGGATGTCTTCTGAAGTTATACACTTGCCAAGACTAACAGAATAAAAATATAAATGGATATGATAGGCTTATCATATTACAATCAGAATGAGCTGTAACAATTAATGGAGACTTCCAAAATATAACTTGCTTTTTATATTCAACACATACTTTTTATGGTGGAATTTGAATTGTCTGAACAGATCTTAATCTTATTGTTGTCATGCTTCTGCATTGTACACACCCTTCTAATCTCACCAGATTTATATTAACTTGTGAAAAGTTAAGAATTTGGGTTCTTTTTTAAAAACTGTAAAACTGATTGGAGTCTGTGATTTACATAAGATCAGATAATAGACTGTTATGGCAATGTTTGTTATGCTCATACAGTATACTGCCCAGAGTCACAGTGTATAAGTTGAGTGACTATCTGCTTAATTAATTAATAATAATAATAATAATAAAATTATTATTAATAATAATAATTAGACATAGTAAAATAGAAGAAAAAGAACTAGAGGAAATTACAAAACAGAAAGACCTGTGGCAAAAGAAAGCAAAGATCATACCAATAGTAATAGGTGCCTTAGGTGCAATACCAAAACAAATGGTGTACCACTTAAACACCATTGGCATTGACAAAGTCACCATCAATCAATTGCAAAAGGCAGCTTTACTTGGAACAACTTACATCCTATGACAATTCCTTTGACATCATCAAATAATAATATCTGTGTGTCCCAGGTTCTTGGAAAGAGCTTATAAATGAATGAAAAGCCAAATCCAGTCTAAACATCTGGTTGACTGTGTGACATACCATTAAAAAAAATCATCTAGATCTTCAACAGCATTGTAAATAGAAAGGCATGAGTGTTTTACCTATAATATAAATAGCCATGGTGGTGCAGTAGTTAGAATACAGTACTGCAGGCTACCTCTGCTGACTGCTGCCTGCCTGCAATTTGGCAGTTCAAATCTCACCAGGCTTAAGGTAGATTCAGCCTTCCAGCCTTCCAAGGTAGGTAAAATTAGGATCCCAATTGTTGGGGGAAATATGCTGATTCTTTAAAACGCTTAGAGAGGATTGTAGAGCTGTAAAGAAGTGCTATTGCTATAATATTCACCAACATACATACATGTTATATATAATTATATGCTTTAGCAACAGCATTCAGTATGAAATAGAAAGGCAGTTTGCAGAGAATAAATCCAGTGACTGGTAAACATGAAAATCTTAACTTGTTGTTTTTTTAAATTATACAGTATATAGCAAATATAAGTGATTGTAAACAATTTTAATATATATTTTCCTCTGTTTATATAGTAAATGGCAGAAAAAATAGAAATTTAAACTCATTTTCAGAAAATTCTTCTAATTGATTAGAAACAATAATTTATTATTGTTAATTTGTCCTGGGTTTGCAAACAATATATCCCAAGAGGTGGCAAAAACGATTTTCAGAATATCTCATGAACTTAGACATCTTAGAAATAGTAGACACATCTCTAGTGTTACTTACAGAAAATTTGAGTATTGTCTTGTTTGAATTCAGAGATTATCAGTGAGCAAAAAGCATATGATTTACTATGTTTTGTTGCTGTTTCTTTTACAAAACAGAAAATCAGCTTTTGCTAGAAAGGGATCATATAGAGTCAGTGTGAAAAATTTGACTGAGACTGAAAGATCCATGTTCAGATTTTCTCTGCATAGGATCCAGACATATTCTCCTCTACTCATTGGGAAAGAATTTAGAATGTTTATTACTTTATTTTTAAATGTTTGACTGTAACTTGAACAAAGGTTTTTGTGTTATTTGGAAATAGTACTTAAGAACATTCCATCATCACTTTTAGTAGCACAAGTTAAAACAGCAAAAATTTGGGAAATGATTTTTTAATATTTGTCAATACAGTTTAAGCAGAAACAGTAATTCACTGTAAGATCCATATGCCAGTGTACTGCCATTTATATTGAATGTAAGATGTCTTATATTTATATTCTTATAGATATTTATAATAGATTTTTAACAGCTAATTCAGATTGTCATCAGATATTTCTTTTTTCTTTCTTTAGATTGTTGCTTAAAATACTGCTGCAGGAGTAGCTGGTTTATTTATTTATTTATTTATTTTGTTGCATTTCTATGCTGCCCAACTCCCAAGGGACTCTGGGCGGCTTACAACAAAGAATAAAACAATGTGAACAATCCCATAAAAAATGTTAAAAAGAAAAACATTAAAACTTTAAAAACTTTAAAAACGTTAAAACACATGCACTGCAATTCATGGCCGGGTCTCGCTTATTATCAGGGGATGTCTTATTTGGCAGGAAACAGGGTAGTTCCATCTTGTAATGGTAACTTGCAATGTTTTTAAACGAAATTCATAAAAATATACAGACTATGGAGAAGCCAGTTGTGAAACAGCTGGAATTCAACACAATGGTAGAAAATTAAGGATAGTCAGTCCAGGGCATGATATACTTATAAAGATATCTCTTTCTCTATTAAAGGGAGTTAATGGGAAATAGGATAAAGAAAGATGAATTGAGAAAGTAAATCCAGCCTGGAAAACTAATAAGCCTTGAAAATCCCCCCTGTTCAGAGTCATTATCATTAGCACTGATGTTAGACTTGTTAATTGAATAAATAAGTGCTTAGTTTCCTACTCCTCTGTTAGGTCTATACAATGGATGTACACAAGTGAAGAAATATTTGATATATATATATTAGTATATATTTGCATTGCTGATTAAATTCTGAAAACTGCAGTGACACACCTTTTATATTTGGGGCCATAACTTTCTTTTCAGAGGATGTTTTCTGTCCTTTAATTATCCATCTTAATTTTAGACAATAATGGCTGAGAAAAATATATTTAGGAGCATAAGTGGCAATTGACCTATCTTTCTCTTCCATGACAGCTATAGAACAATAAAAGATAAAGAGAGGAAACATCAACATTGTTCTATCTATTTATTCCATAATACATATAGTTTAACTCTCAGGTCTTACAGTCTTTTCTTTTCTTTCTTTTTATTCTTTCTGTCCTATCATCCTTTACTAATTCAGGACATATAAAATTGTGACTAGAAATGTTAGAAATGAAGATTAAAATTGTATTGTATAGCTTTAAGAATAACACATATACATATACATACCCATACCCATAATATATACATATGCATGTATACATAAATATATATCAGTCATAAGATTGCCTAGAGATTTGCAATGAAGAATTACACTCTTGCTCCTCTCCCTAAAAACAGTTTCATCTTCTTTTATTGCTCTAAAACATAAAAAGACACAACTGTTACTCTACTTTTTATAAGGTGTAAATAACCAGTGAGACCTCACCTAAACTGATTCAATTTAAGAAGAAGAAAAAATGAGATTTCAATCCATATGCACATTAAAGAAACAGCTAATGTTGGATTCCCTAGCATCTCCATTTAGTTAGTTGATCTGAGAAAATAGAAAAAGAGATTTTGCGTATATTATTTATCTTATTGAAATACTTAATAATTAACCCTGCCTTAATACTGATTCTTAAAATAGTCACATTGTACATAGCAGTCCCTCTCTTTCCCCAAGTGCTGTTCACATCACCCTTGAGTCAGGACAAAAATATTTTGGTATGAAATTTACTGTTCCTATTGCCAAGCCTTATTCTGTATTGATTGCCAGAATTGCCATTCACTGCTACTCACGTGATTTCCTTCTATGATAATGAGCAAATGAACCAAACAGATTTACTTGACTTGAGAATGCCCTTGAAGAAGGAGCAAAGTAGAAAAATAAATATTGCCAGGCCATGCTCTAAGCCTCCAAGTTGGAAAAGATCCTTAAAGTACTTCCAGAATTAAGAACTAACAGAAGGAGAGCAGGGTCCCAGAAGATGATATCAAGAGTTAGTACTAGCAAATTGAATAAGCAGCAAATCACAAAGTCCCCACTCTTATGGGATATATTGCCTTAATATTTTCATCATCATAATATTTAGAAAAATGTATGTAAATCTGTGTCTCTTTTGCTGAGGTGTATCTTCAGTTAGACAAAACATAAACTGGCAATCTATCAAAGTCATACATCCAGTTCTCCTACAGGCTATAATATAGCACTGGCACCCTAATTGTTTCTGCTGGCAAAAAAATAAAATAAATAAAGATGGAAAAAATAACTGGGGAAAGTCGATATCATTTCTCTGTGTTATATTCCTCCCCTTCAGCTCAGAAAGCAGCAGGTAGAACAGAACAGGGTGGGTGACTGTTTAATGTGACTAGATCGCATGAAAAAAAACCCTATTTCTGAGTGCATCAAAGTGCATCAAAAAGTGATACTCTTCCTGCTGTTGACAGAACCATTTCATGACTTTGTTGCTTCTTTGTATGTGTGTGTGGTTTTTGTTTTTTTTTTCCTTCAGCATTACCTGGTGTCATAGATGATGTCTCTATTCCTTTATTTCACCTATGGGGAGAAATTAATTCCTGTGGGAAAGAAAACAAATGCGCAAATAACAACTAGGTGAAAGTTTGTTTTGCCTCCCTATCTTTAAAACAGACAATAGCCATGGGGAGATGACTCAACCGACCCTGACAATCCAGACCCATCCCTATCGAAGCTGTGACCCAGTGGAAATGTCCTATCCCAGGGGACAGTTCCAGCCAGCAATCCGAGTGGCCGACTTGTTGCAGCACATCACTCAAATGAAACGGGGACAGGGCTATGGATTTAAAGAGGAGTATGAGGTGAGATGAATATTCACTCACTTGAATAATAGAAAAAGATTGAGATTAAAGCTACTGGAAAATAATCAGAGTAAGTCCTGATTGAAGAAGTATCTCAATAGTTACGAGACTTATTTTTATGTGTTACTGATCATGGTTTTCCCTCTCTTTCTTCCTGAGTCTTCATTGCAGTCCTTTTTCTGTTGCAGAGCTCCTGTCATTTATACATTCGTACATTGGCAATTTTTTTTAAAAAATGGAGTTTATGAGAAACTGACATTGGGTCTGTTTCAAAGAGTATAACCAGTTCATATGTGACAGCTATCAGCTTGATGGTACAGCTATTATATTTGTGCTGGAAAATCTGCCTGTCTGCTGCTGGGCCACCTGTTAATGGTAGCATGCAAAGCCTTCAACAGCTCAGGACTGAATTAATTTAAAGAATGTTCCCTGTTATATTAGTCTCCAGTCTATGGAGATTCTCGGTCATCCAGGTCATCCCAAAGGTGCTTTTTCAAAAGGCAACTGGACTTTCTTTGTTTTGCCTTGAAGACATTTCGCTTCTCATCCAAGGAATTTCTTCAATTCTGGTTGAATGGTAGAGAATGGAAGGATTTATATTCCTTGTAGTTATCTGGTCATTACCACTCTTTTTTTTTTATGAATTTTAATCATTGAAAGAACTTCTATAAAGAAAATACTCTTTCTGGAAAGAACCATTAATCTATTCTTTAACTAGAAAAATCAGGGGAAAGCACGAACGCAGTCCCCCACTACCAGAAATTATGCAGTCGAGTTTCCCGCATTTGGGGAAATCGCAGGGGTCAGCACACCCGGAGTGCAATGGATGAGCCTCACCCTGGGAAAACCTCCTTCATGATCAAGGTATCTCCCCTGCCAGGTAAGTATATTACCACTCTTTCTGAGAGTCATTGAGGCCACTTGGAGGTTTATCTGCGTCATCAGGGTCACAATAGAGATGGAGCCTTCTTGGAACTGCTAAATGGGATGTGTTGTACTTTCTTTGAAGAAGTGTCTTCAAGGAAAAGCAAAGTCTACTTTCCTTTTGAAAAGGCACCTTTGAGACACTAGACTCCACTATTTTAGTTTTGCTGTTATTCATGTGGAAATGTCATCTAATAAGAATTCTTTGCAGTGGCACTTATTCTATTGATTGGAATAACCTCCCTTCTGCAATGTATCAGGACTAGCCCTGACAAATTTAGACCACTGTATGTTGGTCGTCATCACTCCTGGCTCACCTTATATTTATATTTTTAATGGTTTAATTATACCTTGCAAAATAATATGCTTATTTGTTTTACTAACATAAACTAACCAGAGACTGTATTATTATCATTAATTATTATTTTTAGGAACTAAAGGTATTTAAACAAGTGTTTGCCAAAAATTCTTACATACAGCAAAATGCACTGAATTTCCCCCTTAAATTGTGATATAAAACATATAAAATTATTGCAATACTTTAAGAGCTAGTTTAAAGATCAGACTCATTAAATAAAGGGGGGACCACCTTCTGAGTGTCTGTAACAGCTAATTGCTCTTCTGACTGCTAGGTGTCACCTATGAAGACTCAAGCCTGACACTCTTCTATTATTTTGGCATGAGGCTCTTTTGTGAAAGAACCTTAAACTATTGGAATAATTTTGTTCATTTAAAAATGTATTTCAAACTGCAATGGATTGTAACGCGGGAAAGTGGAATAACACTTCTAGATTGGAGTGTCAAACCAAGCAGCTTATCAAAGAGACCTGGTATGCCAGAGATTTTGTAATTATGAAGTTAAAAGACTGGCATTCTCTTCTAAAGATTATTTTCATCTTTCCTAGCTCCATCCAGTAGTTAAAGTGAAATTTGTGGTAGTTTAATTAAGAAGCAATTACCTGTACTGATGATCTTCTGTTTAAATCAGGCACTATTGTTGGGCATCTGCTCCACTTGAGCACCCAAGTGGGATCAAGTTGTTGTACATTCCTGGCCACATAATTTAATTAGCAGTGATAGACATTTTAATTTTTCACAAAGCCTCCAGTCAAATACCTCTGTAGATATTATCATACTATGAGAAAGGCCAATGTTTACTCATTATTGTTACTACCAATAGGACCCACTTCAGTAGAAATTCATATATCATACATCACTTTGCTGAACTTGAAACTGACCTTGGTTACTTGTTACATTTTTTTCCTAATTCTCAGTGGATGAGATTTCATCCTGATGACCCTAAGGTATGAGGAGACTGGGAGGTTAGGTATTTGGTGAATATCACTTTCAAAGTGCTATTAGAGCAATTCAGCAGTATAGGGTAAGTAATGATTCACTTATCATTGATACTGGGAATATAACAATTATGACATCCATGGATAAAATTCAGGATTCAAATTTTAACCCAAATAGCATGAAAAATGGATAAAACAACCTGCATTTTTCAGGGTGTTCCAGTTAAAAATTCAAGAGTCCTTTTATTGGCAGATGGGCTTATCCATAGTATATATACTATATATTATATAGGATATATAGTTACTTTTAAAAAACTGAGAGAATTCATTCCCATTTTGGCATCTAAAATTCATAAGTATATATAAAAAAGAGCTTAGCCTTTGTAGTTAATAAATACGGCCTCCTCAAGACATTATGGCCCTTTATGACATGTGCTAAACAGCTTTGTAAAGTATAGATAAGATGCCTTATGGAGTGTTAATGGGCTGTGAAGAACTGAATTACTCTTACTCTGATAACTTCAAGATAAAGTTGCTGAAATGCTTAATGTAAGTAAGAGTCAGGTTTAATTTTCAGTTTCTGGCAGCTGTACGGCATTTAAAATTATATCTCCACTAATCTTAGCACTTTGATGCTTTTACACGCAAGGTCGTATTTTGTTTCATGTTATTTTAAAGGCTGCAAACCTAAACAAATATCAATGAAAACATTACTCCATATTCAGTTTCTTTGCCATGTTAATAAATTTGCCACCAAGGACATTTCAATATCCCTTTTTTCTTTTCCTTTTGAAAGCTAGGAAATTTATGATGGCTATTTTATTATACCCTATACGGATTACATTTAATTATATTCCTCCTTTCAGGATAAAAATCTTTGAAAGACAAGCAACAACAGGATCATTAGTAAAATTACACTAAGCAAAATTTTAAAAGCTCTTTCTCACAAGGTTGGTAGTCTTTTCTGTCTTGCAACTGTTCTTCATGTTTTTGTGGATGGCAAAAATAAAATTAAGATTTTCTGACTTTTTGCTTTTGAGTGAAGAGTGGAAGGGGAAAATTTGTTTGGTATACAAACGTATACAGATAGTCCTCAATTTACAATAGTTTGTTTAGTAACTATTTGAAGTTACAATGGCACTGAAAAAAAGGGTGATGTAAAGGGTCATTTTTTTCTCTGACAACCCCATGATCAAAATTCAGCCACTTGGCAACTGACTCATAGTTATGGCGGTTGCAGTGTCCTGTGGTCATATTTTTGCAACCTTCTGATAAGGTTGTAAATAGGGAAGCCAGATTTACTTAACAACTATATTACTAAGTTAACAATTGCAGTGATTCATTTATCAACTGTGGCAAGAAAGGTCATAAAATGGGACAAAACTCAATACTTGTTTTGCTTAGCAACAGAAATTTTGGGCTCAATTGTGGTCGTAAGTCAAGGACTACCTGTATATTGTGTTATACTTTGGAAATTTGTGGGTCTTTTTTAATATATAAAAAATAATAAAATAATAATAAAGATATAAAATACATCTACTGATTTATTTTCCAACGCTAAATGACAAAACAGGAAAAAAAGCTGCCATTTGTTTTCTGGCAATGATCAGAGGTGGCACAATGACTGCAAAGGAAATTTTAAGGGACTCCTGCTCTAAGACCATTTAAGGGCTGCTTAAAGGTGGACATAATCCAGATGGAACAGGCTCTGGGTTCACTTTTCTTGCATTCCTTCCTCTTCCTTGAGTGAACAGTTGCAAAACACAATTTTCTTCTTTCACCTATCTGGTCCATTAAATTACATCACCTCTATAGCTGTAATCCTCAATACTCTTTCAGTGTGATTAGTGAGGTTTAGGTTGAAAATATCCTTGAAGGCAACAGAATGAAATGATCAAGTCAAGAGGTGATAGACTCGGTAATTCAGCAACACTTCAAATAAGATGATACTTTCAAAAAAGTACTCCTCACTGTAAAAAGCTATCTGTCGAAAGAATACTGAGTCTGCTAACATTCTACTTATATAAAAGGGTGTTTTATTGTAGAAATGAACTTTCAAAGCTTTTGACACCTTCCAAGTCTGTGATTCCTTGAACACTTGTACACTTAGGGGGAAAGAGAATGTAGTCAAGCACATAAATCAGTTCTACAATTTTAAACAGTCAGGTGTGACTGTCTACTGCGTAGAATGCTAAAAATTTCTAAGCGGCACTTTTCTAGAGGTGATTTGGAGAAGACTGAAACAAAAAATGTTTGAATAGTTATAGTTTGCCTTTTCTTTTTCCTCTGATTGCATTTTCCAGCTGTTTTTAGGCTTCTGGTTCACTGATCCCCACCTCTTCTCTCTCTCTCTCTCTCTCTCTCTCTCCCTCTCTCTCTCTCTCTCTCTCTCTCTCTCTTTTTGAATCTATTAAAAAGCAGTCTTACAATTGTGGATTTTCATCTTTGGCTCTGCATTTGTATCTTTTAAATACCAATATCAATTTCTTATTCTTGGACCATTTCCCTAACCCATGAAGTCTGTTTTTTATATTATCGCCTACAATACAGATACAGTAATTTAATATTGAAGAATCAGAAACTAAGACTAAGTCTTCTGACATTTTTCTTCATGCCTGCATTCAATTTATTTATTATTTTTTACTTAAATTATTTATATGGTTATCTATCTCACAACAATGACTCACTGTTTGATGAGGAAACACTAACACCATTTTTCAAGCTATTTACATATCTACATAACTGTCATCTCATTTAAGTCACAATTAACTTGCTAATGAGAATGTCTCATTAGCAAATTACTATATACTATGTCTACAAAATTCCCACAATGTACTAAAAAGAATACCTAATGAAAAATGTGATAAACTTAGTGCATTAGCTTCTAAAAAATAGTGGCAAGCGATTTCATGTATCAAAATTATAAATTTGGTTATAAAATCAGAGTTATCAGCTTTTTCCAGTATGTCCTATGTATGGATTAAATTCACTTCTCTTAGAATAAAAATGCATTTATTCAAAGCTGTGAATGTCCTATGATATTATTTTGGAGATTTCAAATTTACCATCCTGTGTACATGAATAAAATGGAAAATTGGGGGTTTTATTTTGTTTTTTGTTTGTTTGTTGCAGCAACTAAATTATTATGAGTTTTTCTGAACAATTTATTGAAACAAGATACAAATGTATATCTTGTCTTTGATGAAGAAAAATGCCTTATTTCAATTACTTTTTTCCTATATTCTTCCCCACTCAGAACATCAGATGCTATTAGGTAGCACTTTCTTTGTACAACAAATGAGGTGTGATCAAAGATCTTTCCATTTGCTGCAACATTATTTCATAAACATAGAGATTGAGCTACCTCTCATTTATTACCCATTTTAACCAAGAAAATCATCCATAGTACATCCTGGAATTACTGCTTCACAGAACTTTTATAAACTACAGTCTGGCAAGCTTTGTCTTTTTAAATAAAACAATTATAATGTCACACCATCACTGTAATATCTAGTATATTAAAATAACCCACAATATCACAACCAAAGAAGCTATGTTGTCAGCTCTGGGTTTCTATGGACTGTATACGATATTAGTTAACAATAGTAAATGATGAATTTTGTAATTATGGGTTTCACATAACATTTTTTTGGTACCATTCATGATTATAGGATACATTTCTTGTCTGGGAATGTTAAGCTAATGCCAACTGTAAATCCATTACATATTTAATGTTCCAGACTATGCTGAATATATGATTTTGGGGGGATTTTATCACTGAAAAAAGACAGAACTTGGGGTGTGAAGGTATTCCAACAAGAGTTTGTTACAGCCTCTTCTCCATTCATACTGTTGCCATTCCCAACAACAACTCTTGTTGTAAGTTTTCTGAGCCTGTCAATGCATGTGAATTATCCCATGTTGCTTTATGAATACCCCAAACCTGATGGAATAGACTACTACGTGAAAGCTTGCAAAAGAGATTTAAATTTATCCACACATATACTTGATGTGTGTATGTTTGTATGCACTCCATATGTATCTGTCTGTATGTTTATAATGGGAGAATTATATGGAAACTCCTATGCTACCAAGTGCTTTTATTCATTTATTTATAGCACAGCTTTTGGCCTCAGATTAAATGCCATATATGTATCCTGATATTTCATATGGACATGAGAGAGATAATCCCCATCTCTGTGTTAGAGATGGCATCATAATGACAACGATAACAATACTTGCCCTGACTCCCTTTTATCAGTAAAAATAATATATATTATTTTTAATCAAAAACATGCAAAAATAAGCAAAATCCTTAATTGTTTTTTGTTCCAATTACATTAATATAGCCATTTATAAATTACATAAGCCCTAAGACACTAATGGACTCTTCATTATTGTTCATTGTTGTTTTCCTCAGAAATCAGTTGTCTTGGCAGTGTGCTAAATTATATGCTGCCTCTCTCCTGCCCTCTACTTCATTAAGTTAAAAAATAACAACCTGAAGGTCTTCCCTATTTTATAAATATTCCATTCTTTAATTTGCAGGCTCTACCTGAAGGGCAGACAGCATCTTGGGACACCGCCAAAGAAGATGAAAACCGCAATAAGAATAGATATGGCAACATCATCTCCTGTAGGTGCAAATTCAAACTGAACTGAACTTCCTGTGTGTATCTGTAAGCATCTTATATGTATAAGAGCATAACTGTAACAAAGAATAACTTCCTAGTCTTTAGAACATTTCAGCTTAATAACAGCTTCTGTGTTAGTGTTTCCCCCTTCCCCCAATTTTTTCATTGATTTATTGTTCTTTGTATAGATTTACATTGGTCTCAGTGGACCCAAGTGACAAAAATCTACTTTTTTGGGGGGGAGGCTGGCATTCTCATACATCGAACACACCTGAGAAAAGAGGTAGGGGAATATCAACATCATGACATCAAGCTCTTTTCCCAGTTGAGCATATGGTTTTTATTGGTCAGGAACCTATTTTCCCCAGGGCAAAATGCAGGCAGAGCTGTTGATGGACTTTGCTGTTTGGGACATAGTGTTATCTCCACATGTTCTACAGAACATACAGAAGTTGGGTTAGGAAACTCTACCATTTTCAGTAGCGCAGGCTGAGAGAGATTAAAGAGTGATGAACCTCTGATGTGATTCATATGACAGATAAAAGATAAACAGTGAATCTTTATCTACAAGATTCATTTCAATGTATAAGGATTGGTATCACCTGCAGGTAAGCAAATTCCACAGATGGGCTACTATCACCAAGAAGACCCTAGATATATGAACTAGTCCATTTCAAAGAAGTAGGGACGCGGTGGCTCACTGGCTAAGACGCTGAGCTTGTCGATCAAAAGTTGGCAGTTCAGAGTTCAAATCCCTAGTGCCGCGTAATGGGGTGAGGTCCCGTTACTAGTCCCAGCTTCTGCCAACCTAGCAGTTTGAAAGCATGTAAAAAATGCAAATAGAAAAATAGGGACCACCTTTGGTGGGAAGGTAACAGTTTTCCGTGTGCCTTTGGCATTTAGTCATGCTAGCCACATGACTACGGAGACGTCTTCAGACATCGCTGGCTCTTCGGCTTTGAAACGGAGATGAGCACCACACCCTAGAGTTGGGAACAACTATCACATATGTGCGAGGGGAACCTTTACCTTTACCTATACAAAGAAGGAATCATAAACAGGACTTCTCTATCGATCTCAGTGCATAAACTAGCTGGTATATAACAGCTCACTAAAAAAATTTTCCCTGCGATCGAAAAAACAGATCTACCACATTTGAGAGACTTCCGTGTATTTGTTCTCGTTGTTTTGGATTGCAGAGTGAAACCAATATTTGTGTTGCAATATTACCAGTAGCATGGCAGCTAGATTTTCACGATTGTTCTGTGTTGTTAAGTTGTGACTTTGGACAATTGATAAACTTTAGTTGGCACTTTAGAAAATAAATTAAAGTAAGATCATTCATGTACTTGTTCTAAAATGTCACAAACCCTATGATATCTATAGAAAGCATTACCCCACCCACATGTCTGAAAAAAGTTTCAGAATTTAGTCAGAATAATTATATTATGTTCACTAATTTTGTAAGATATAATGTAAGATATAATAATATAATGTTAAATTACAGCATAATACATATAATATAACATGCAGAATTACTTTAATTCAAAGTGGAAAAGCTTTGGAGAGGATTTGGACACACTTGCTATACCTGTTGATGGTGTAGCAAGGGGACTAGAGGCTAAAACATATAAAGAATGTTGCTGGAATTGGGTATGTCTAGTTTAATGAAAATAAAGACTAAGGGAGACATGTTCCAATATCTCAGAGGTTTCTACAGAGAATAGGGAGTCAGGCTATTCTCCAAAATACCTGAGGGCAGGGCAAGAAGCAATGGATGGAAACTAACCAAGGAGAGAAGCAACCTAGAACTAAGGAGAAATTTATTGACAGTTAGAACAATTAATCAGTGGAATAACTTGCTCCCAGAAGTTGTGGGTGCTCCAACATTGGAAGATTTTAAGAAGAGATTGGACAACTATTGAAATGGTATAGGGGAGTGATGGCTAACCTTTTTGCTATCACGTGCCAAAAATGGGGAAAATGTGGGGAAGTCATGCGCACACGTGCCCACACCCATAATTAAATGCACATGCGCATCCCGCTCCCCATACTTTTGGCATGCAATGGCGCAGTGGGCCGGGTAGGCCCATTTTTCACCTTCCCCGGGCTCCAGAGACTTTCTTGGAGCCTGGGGAGGATGAAAATGGCCTTCTCCATCCCCGCTGGAGGGTCTCCGGAGGCCAGAAATGGCCTGTTTCCCAACTTCCGGTCCCACCAGAAACAGGCTGTTTCCAGCCTTTGGAGGCCCTTTGGGGGTGGGGAAGGCTGTTTTTGCCCTCCCCAGGCTCCTAGAAAGCCTGGGGAAAGCGAAAAATGGGCCTTCCCCACCCACCCCCAGAGGCCCTCTGGAGGCCGGAAACAGTCTGTTTCCTGACTTCCAGAGTGCCCGGAAGGCCCGAAAATCAGCTGGCTGGTGTGCACATGTATGCTGGAGCTGAGCTAGGGCAACACTTGCATGCCTACCGATATAGCTCCATGTGCCACCTGCGGCACATGTGCCATAGGTTCGCCATCACGGGTATAGAGTTTCCTGCCGAGCAGTGGGCCTCCAAGGTCCCTTCCAACTCTTTTATTCTGTTATTGGTGTCTCCCTAAAAGGCCACACTTTTTTTTACTGGAGTTTTATGTAATGTTAGGGTATAATGAGCTTAGTGCTCCTTAACTCAGTATGCATTCTTCTAGAACTATGTGGCTTCTAGGTGAACCAATAAATTGCATTCTCTTTAAGGAAGTGGAAATAGATTTCTCAGATAATCACATTCAAAAACACCTTTTCCACTTAAGTTCAAAATAGCTGCACAAATGATAATGCTTTAAAAATGCTTTAAAGGCTCATGTAATGTGTTTGAAGGGTACAAATGCAACCTAGGGGTCTGACTTAAACCACAACGCAGCTTCTAATTCACATAAATTAAAATAAATTGAATCCAGGATATATAAGCAAAGTTGTATAACAACACAAAGGAGGAATGATAATTTATTTATTAAGAGTGTTAATGGGGCATAGAACATTGAGCACAAGGTAGGTAGCTAGAAAGTGCTAAGAAAGCAATATCAAACTGATTAAAAAGATGTTAACCTTTAGGAGAATGTTTACAAAGTTGAATCATTGTTCAAGAAAAGGAGAAGCTTAAGCATTGCTAAAATGAATGACAAAATAGACATGTGAGTTTATGAATGAAAAGAGCTGGAGAATAGATAGCAAGATAATGACTTTTTTTCCTGGAATAATTGTTGATTTGAATTAAGAAAGCAATTAATGACGTTTCTTAGAAATAGTAGGGATATTTTTTTATTTAAAAAAATGTGTCACAAGTGACATAAAATAGAGGACTTTGTTTTGGAAACAATCCTCCATCCAAAGACAGATTAGTACTAAAGCTGTCATGAAGGAAAGCCATTAACTGTCTGAGAATCCTTTGGAAGACTGGAACTATAATGGCTACCCACCTTGTAAGAGATGATTGAGAATGATTTTCCTCTGTATAACAAAGATTAGGGGAAAAAATGTTGTTGTACTTGGTGGCAGTCAGTCACATGGTTAGACTGGATTTGGCATTTTTGTCCACCTATTCAAGTCCCTCCCAAAGACCTGGAGTAGGCAGATGTTGTTGTTTAATGGTATTAAATGTATGGTCGCTGGAAGTAAGCTGCAACTAGTAAATCTGCATTTTGCAATTGACTTGTAGTGATTTTGTCAGTGCTGGTGGTGTTCAAATGGTGCTCCAAATATTTTGGAATTGCAGGTCTTTGTATCTTGTGATTTTCTCCAGATTTTGTCTTTTTGTTCTGCTGTCTCCAGGTTCTATCGTGTCCAGACCTTTTTATTTTTCTTATCAACAATTGCTAAGTCTTTATGTGGCAGGTGCTTGTCTGTTTGAATTCTCAAGTCCCAGAGTACCTTAGCATCTTCATTTTCTATTACTTTGTCTATTTTACTATTATTATTTATGACTGCCGACTCCGATAGAGTCTGGGTACAAATTCCAAATGCACATTTAAAAACATGACTGCTGTTTTGGATGCAGTTAAAAAAAAAAAAGAACTAAAGAATTCTCCAGAGAAGACAAGTGCCTCTTAACAAATTAAACATCTTCAATGGCAATTATGTATGTTAACAGTAAGAGAAATGGAAATAAAAATGAATTATGTAAAACAAAAAAAGTTGAGCTTGCAAATAAAGGGTAGCATATCAAGGGTAGCATATCAATTATAAAAAAGAAAAGGAAAAGAAAATTATATTGAAATTACAGTAGGGAGATATGGTGTTAATGGCAAAGTGGCCATGCAAAAAGCATCTCATCAATATTATTATGATTTTATTAAAAAAAAATGACATCTCTCTAGAGAAAATAAATGAATATCTAAAGAAACAAAATTTACTGAGGACAGATTATGAATAATACAAGAAATTTCTGAAGCTATAAAAATATTAAATTAAGAAGGATTCTTGGACCAGATCAGTGGTGAGTTGCTGGATTGGGCAAACCAGTAGCAGCGGTGGCAGGAGGATCTGCCCACCCACACCGGATGCTTCTGCACATGCGCAGAAGTGTCACGCATGAGCGTGCATGAGTGAACCAGATGGATTATCAGGTTCTAATTATAAATGTTTTGAGAATGAATTTTTGCAGCCTTTGCAATACACAATGAACTCTATACTACAAGAAAGGGTCCAATATAACACTAATAACTAGAGGGGGACAAAATCTGACTTTTAGAAGACTATAAATTGATGTAATTATTTACTTGTTGCATTGTAAATAACTACAAATTGTTTAAAATGTTTCTGGCTAATAGACAGACAATAATTTTATGGATTTTTACTTGGAGTAACATAATAAAAAAAAAATAAGCTGCACTGATGATCTTAGATACAGAAAAGGCCTTTAAGAATTTGAATTAGGCTTTTTTGTTTAAAGTTTTAGAAATTATGGATTTTATGGAGTGAATTGTGACAAGGCAGGGATGCCCACTGCCACTTCTCTTGTTTATTTTT